TATATATATATATATATATATATATATATATTTAATTGCTTTTGCACTTTAGTAGTCCGGTGATATGATGATCACAACTTAACTTCAGTTGTCACACCTCTTATACTGTTCATCAACGTTTTTTATTGAGTGTGATTTAAAGTGGAATTTAAAGATGACTTCAACATCTAAAAAAGGAGGTTGTGTTTGTAAATTCTAACCATTCAAAGAAGAAGTGGATGAGTTTTTTTTCCGTCTGTGTATATACTCTTAATTAATTGTTCGTTGCTAGTTTTTTTATTCCTTTGTATGTTATTTTTATTAAACAATTATGAGTATATTTTTAGGCTGATATGGATCATAAACCGGATCCTGAGAATGTAAAATCATGGCCACAATTTGTTCTGAGGGTGGATCGATTCATGTGCAATTACCTAACCTCAGGAAAACGCACCAAACTCGCCGTCCTTAGCAGCGCGTTGAAAGTGTGGATTTTACTGAAGGTCTCTCTCTCTCTCTCTCTATACATGGAAACTATTTGGAAGATTTGCATACATATCACTTAGTTCTTATTTATTTATGTATCTAACACCTAAACCTCAATATATATATATTCAAAGGAATTGATATTTAGGACGGACTAAACTGTCCCCTAAATCCCGGTTTCCCCATATGTGCTAATTCGACCCGAAGAGGATTCGAACCCGTGACAGAAGGGACTTACGCCTAGGCCGCCTTCCAACAGGCCACGGTTGCAGGCGCACACACAAATATATATATATATATATATATATGCAACTTTAACTAATGCATGAAAATGTGTATTCCATATTTTAAAAGTTAAAATAGTAATATTTTTACTGCGATATGAAAGATTTGGGGTGTTATAAATTAAAAAAATAAATTTAACATGTTAGATTTGTAAATGTATTGGAATTGGCTGGTATGTATGTAAAAGCCTAAAACTATATTGCAAGTTCTCTTCCGTGCTCTGCTTCTAACTTAGCTCTGCTCTGCTCCCTCTCATTTGTATCAGGTTGCGAGAGGATTCTCAAGAGGTACTTTCGAAGTGAAGCCATTCACAGAAGAGAAGGAAAATGACGGTCAAAGAGTAGCTATTTCCAGGCTAAGACATACAGAAGCTACCAGTTATATTATTCCAAACTCCAAATTAACTCTCTTCCCTATGAAAAAGTGGAGAGGGCGTATCAAAAGATAAGTTTTTGCTTCAAATTGCTGCATCCATCTGATTCATTTTACATGCAAACGTCTTGATTTCTGTGTTGTTGAGATCCATGACCTTCTTTTGATTTATCATGCTTTGTTTTGTTTATTATTGTATTTGAACGAGCTGTTATTGGCTGATTTTCGGCATGGAAATGTCATATTTGTTTTATTTTGATAAAGTTTGCTTAAATTTCTCAATAAATTAATAAATAGATTACAAAATGGGCATTTACATATTCATGGCATGCAATTCTCATGTATTTACATATCTTAACTAAACCTCTATATTTACACACATAACACTCAAATCTTTAGTATTACATCAAAAATAGCACTATCATGTCTTTTTTTAAAGTGGAACACATTTTTTCATGCATGGGTTTAATTCACCGAAGTGTTGTGCATGTAAATATGAAAGTTTAGATGTAAATTTCCCAATAATAATTAAAAAAAAAAAAAAACACGTGCTGAGCAAGAATTATGGTTCCATGGCCACGTTTCACATACCCAAGCTGTACGTGCTTCAGAAATCAACTTCATGGGCCATATATTGGGCTGTCAAAAAAGTTCGTTGTTCGTGAACAGCTCGTGTTCGGCTCGTTCGTTAAGTAAATGAGCCGAACATGAACAAGTTTTTAAAGCTCGAATTATAAATGAGCCGAACACGAACAGCTCTTTGTTCGTTGTGTTAAAAAAATTATATAATTATTTGTATAAAAATATATTACACATTATTTATCTAATAATATATTATATATATTTATATCTAAGTTTAAATCGTAACTGTTCTTGTGGTAATGTGGTTATGCATTTTGTTTTATATATATTTGGTTTATGTTCGAATCCAACACTATACATCTATTTTTTCAGTTTAATTTTAACAAGTCAATTTCGAGTCGAACGCGAGCCGAACACGAACACACTGTTCACGAGCCGTTTTAGAACACGAGCCGATTTTGAACACGAACAATTTTGAATGAGTTGAACACGAGTAGCTCGCTTGTTTACAGCACTAGTCGTATAAGGCTTTACAAACTACATGTTTCAAAAGAGATGCTTGGAATAAGAACAATGTGCATTGTGTTCGAAGCAATTAAGTATAAGCATGAGTTCATAAAAATAATGACCCGGATTTTAGGAATGGCTGGTTAATATTTTGTTGTGCTGTGCTATTGTAACTTACTTGTTAAGGTGTCCAATGAGAGACTTGCATTAGTATAATAAACATTCGCATATAGTAAAGGCATGCATAATGAATTTGTCAAGAGCTAAAGAACTCGTCAGGATTATTCACTTTGACTCAAATTGCCGCTTGTTCTGGCCAATGGGCGGACACTTGTCCAGTCCAATCAGCTGAAGTCAGCTGGCTCTGACTAACTCGAACTTTCGCATCCACCAAAAAATTTGTGTTTCCCTTCAAAGGACTACAACTTCTACCATCCAAAAAAATATTGCATACGGACACCGCATGCAGAGATGCATGCGGTGTCTGATCTACACCGTAGATCACGGTGATCTATAGTGATGATGCAATCAAAAAAAATTTTAAATAAAAAAATAAAATAAAATTAAAGTGGACCCATTGAAATACATCATCACCGTAGATCATCATGATCTACGGTGTAGATCGGACACTGCATGCATCACCACACGCGGTGGCCGTCTGCAACCTATCATCCAATTAGTAATTCATCTTAAAATTCATGTAGGGAGCTTTCCATGCGAGTTCTTAATGTTCTGATCTTAATGTTATTGTGCTTGTGAGAGTTCGGGCATGTATTTCTTTTGGGGTTGCTGCATAATCACAATAAAGAATATTGAATAAAATATTTTAATTGAAAAAAAAGTTATATCTTATTTGTAAAATATTCACTCTAAATTCTTCCAAAATTATAAATATATCATTTTAAGTATTCAAAATTATCACTTAAAGCTTTCATTAGTGGGCAAAGGAGGGTGGTAGTAATGAGATGTGGTTATATTATTATATTTAAAGTTTGGATTGTTAAAACATAAGGTCTCTCAGCTGCCTCTAGAGTGGAGTGTTGGCCGGCTCCCATTATCTGTGAGTTAATAATATGAACGATCTTCTCTGCAAGAATAATTAATGTCGTAAAAAGGAAAAGAAATAAATCTACAGTTATAAAGACTAAGTTTTCTCATACCTATCATTCGTTCCATCTTAAATGGTCGGAGGCTTTCACAACAAGCAGTCCACCTGGTTGCCCCCATCGAGGATCGACGCATCATGGCGTGCACGCCAGCTCTACTTCCCATCTCACCATGGAACGACATCTGAGTCAGATGACTCAGCCGCTTCCTTCACCCATTATTTCTTCTGGATCACTTGCTTGATCTGCTTCTCTTCCTCCGGTCGTCTCCCTCTTTCCAATCTCTTTGAGCCGACCGGGGGTCTTCCTCTTTCACCTAACTAGTCTTCCTTTTCCCTCCTGCCTCTTCGCCATTGTCGGTTGGCCCTCATCCTCCAACTTCTTTATTACGGGTTGACTACTCTCTAGTTTATTTTTCTCCCTTGCGTCCTTAGGAGGCTAGAGTTTCTCAAAGTCCGAAAACCTTTATCAAGCTGAGACCAATAGATCAATCATGAGTGTTGACTCCCATAGTTGAAAGGGTATGCACGAGTATCTAGAGTCAAAGGGTATCATATATGCCATAATAATGCAAATCACAATATAATAAAGAAATACAAGAAATTGTAAATAATATTGATATTAATTTTAAACCTTATGCCACAAATTAAAGTAGTGAGCTATGGGATTCAAACATTATGTGCTATGTCTCTTCCATTGCACAAATAATGCCCACCATTTTAACCACACGAGCCCACTTTGAAAAAGGCGTAAAAAGGTTAGTTGAATCGGGATATGTGCCCTAGCCTGCACTATTTACACTATTGACATATACATCATGCCCTACTTATTTGAAATTGGCATTGTGTCTTATGAAAATAAATTCTAATTGCTTTGTAACTAAATTGTGAATGGGGCAATATATTGTGTTTGTCGATTGAAAACCTAAAGTTTATATAACTTGGGAGAATGGCTATGCATAAGTTAGAGGATTTGGAGATGCAAATCTTAGTAATATAAACACAAATATATGATCTCCTTGATTATTATCTGGTTCACCATTCAAGTGTTGCTAGTTATGTGAGCCATGGAGAAGAGATACTAAAAAATTTAACATTCAAGAAGGAAATCATGTCCATCCATAGTAACAAATTGTGCGCTTTTTGTGGGTTATGTTATTGAAAAAAATCTGTAAAACTTTTATCTTGTATATTGCAAAGTGGTTTGGTCAAAGGGGCTAGATAAGTAAATTTAAATACAACGAATTCATTGTTTATAAGGACGTGACATTTTTCTCTACGAGTTCATACTAAAAAAATAATAATAGCCCACATATTGTTATCTTGACATCAATTTATGGTCTCTAAATAATAAAATGGTTGATATCTAATAACAATTTTTTTGTCTGTTATTGTAATTATTTATTTCCTTTGTTTGTAGTTTTGTACATAAATACCCATTAAAAGAATGAATAAACCAACCTTTTCTGGCCACTTCTTTCTCTACATGGTGTTAGGGTGAGGTTGGAGTTTTATGCTTCCAACTTTTGTTGGATCTAGTCTTCCTCGAATCTCTTTTTAGCTAGTACTCTTCATTCACTTCATTATATCTAGTTTCTTTGACATCCCTTATAAGGAATCAACCATGATAAAAAGTGAAAGTCAAACTAAAAGAGAATATGGGGAATTCAAGCCTCATATTTCTTAAATGGGAGAAACTATATGAAGTGGCCTCAAATTGTGAGGATAATTCTGAAAAGGAGAAATATTTAACACCTTACATATCTATCTTTCTATTTAAGGGATCCAATATGTATATTTTGGGGAAGGAACGGATTCCATGATCATGACATGATTGTGGAATATCATGATTGATGTTGGACGTTCTTGTGTAACGCTGAATCACATTTGGGGCCAAATTGGATGTGGGATTCCGAATTTTTCCTCGATCGCAAGATTGGATCACGATCGATCGAAAAAATTTCTTGTGTACGTCGTAATTAGGATGGGATTCTGGACTGTCTTTCTTATAATTGTGTTGTCTGGCCTATGAGCCCTTCTTGGTTTATTATTTCAGGGTTAATTAGAAGTTCTTTGTACTGAGAAACTATTTATTTGTGTTATTTTCTATTTTTTGGAGAATTTTAGCTTTGTTCTATGTATTTTAGAGATTATAATCTCTGATTTTTGCAATAAAGTGTTTATATCATCTTCCTTCTACAAGCAATTTGTCTATAGCCTATTCAGGAACAAGTAGTGAACCTCCTCGCATTCCATACCCTACTACTTTGGGGTTCTCTTTGTTGTTTTGAGCTGGAAAAGCTTTTGAATGACTCTTATCCCATCCAAACATCGTTGAGCTCACATGCTGTCATTTCCTTGCTATTCCACAACCACCTCCCCGCGATATCCGTCTACGAAATACCTTCTAGGAGCCTTAGAATAGTGTCAATGATGACGAAAATCAGTATGTCAAATATGTTCTTATCTACTGCAAAATAAATTTGGGATATTGTCAAACAAACTCATTCAAAAGTTAAGGATGCTGCAATTATCTATAAGATCAAAAAGAAACTCTATACTACTAAGATAATCTCCTAATCATTAAATACTCTAACGTAAGTAGGGTTTATTAGCTTGAACTAGATTATTACAAAGATTTTAAGATTATGTGTTATGAAGATAAGAAGATCCTTAAGTGCTTTGTGAAAAGAGATAGTATTTGAGCTTCTTGTAGGATTCAATAATTGTTCAAATCTTTAGAAGAGAAAATCTCCTCTTCTTATAAATTTTTCTCGCTACTATGCGCTCAAGAAGAAAGAAAAATAGCGATGTTCAACAATATAGTTTCCAAAACATCTATCATAACGTCCATTAAATTCTATGATAGGGGATTTACCATCAGAGATTTATCTCTCTATGAAGAACAAAAGCCTCCTCTCAAATGTAATCTCTAGGCAATTATTGCAAGAAAAAATGAGCACATCAAAAAGAAATGTTGCAAACTTCAAGGGATACTTCAAGGCCATGATGGAAACAAAGAAAAGAAGAAGAAAATATAGGCACGCAATGTGACTCAATTAGGAAGAAATAACAAACTAAGAATCTCCTTTATCATGTGGAAAAACAAATTGGATCATTCTCACTTACTCAAAATTGGAGAACTTCCAACTCTTATGTCTTTAGTACCTCAGTTACATATTCCCAAATTTGGATCCTCAATTCAAGTGCCTCTAACAACATGATAAATTTTGCCAATATGTTTTGAACCAAAAAATCTTGTCCGAGTAATAGCAAAATAAAAGTGGCTAATGGTTTCTTAATAGCTATTGCGTGGTAAGAAAATATTTATATGTTTTCCATTTTAACCCTTAGTAATGTATTATATGTTCTCACCTTACAATTAACATTTTATTATTTCATAGAATTATTATTGATCATATAAATATTGTTCATTTTATTGTTATGCATAACATAAGTCTTCAAACAAGTTTGGCAAGCCTATCATTGACTCATTAGAGAATGAGATGAACGGTGTCATAGGTGCCAATTGAACATCACTCCCCTCCCAAAATGACATAATATAATCAAAGTGTGAGAGAAAAAAATCCTATTGGAATAAGTCATATGATTTCCACATGATGTCCTCGTCTAACAAACCCTTAACTTTAATACAAAATTTGTAGTAATCCTCATGAGTTCAAAATACAGTTTGTGCACATCCTTCAGTCGTATCTGAATCTGTTGGTGCTCCGACCTCAAGTCAATCTTGAAGAACACCGCAACCCCAAATAACTACATACATGTCATATCCTCTTACGTCAAAATTGCCGGATTTACATACATGCATTATCTTTTTTAAATATTTAAATAACGATTGCCTACATATTTATATGTATTTATATAAGACCCTAGAAGTTAAATCACATCAAAACATATTAATAAATATGTGTGTTTCATTTTAGATAAATTAACATTTGTTGATTTTTTATTTGATTTAGAGATTATCATGAATACATAAGAATTGTGTGCCATGCATGTAGATGCCCCTAAATAAATACATAGATTTAGGGGAATTTACAGGATTTTCATGTAAATCCATCCAACATAAGAGAAATAAATATAGCCGTTATAGTTTGTACCTATCTAATATATTGTTGCACATATTTATATAAAATCTCTTACATAATTCTGAAATATAGCTTTTTTTATATGTACTTGGAAATTATTACACACTCAACAACATTTTATTTAGATGGTTAGCTTGACCGATTTACTTAGTTGATTGCTTTTTAAGCCATTACAACGGTCAAGAGCTCACTCAAAATTGAACCAATTCAAATCAAAATTATATTGATTTTTTTGAATTAATATTGAATCATGATGCACCAAAAATAAAAGCAAAATTCTTTTTTGAGTTTACAACTAGGATTTTGACTTAAAAGTGAAAAAAAAAAGGTAGCAATTGACTATTAACTAACTAAATTTTGATTTTTTTTTATTAAATCAAAAAAATTTTAAATAAATCAATTATCATAATAAAAATAATAGTTTTTCTTCAAATTAACTTCCAAACCTTTCTTTAAAAAATTGAATCAAATCAATCACATAGATTCGATTTAGTTAATTTTTTTAATCAATATAACTAAGCATGCCTAGGGCTCCAAATGAACCAATACACTTGATGAATAACTCGAACTTGACTTGATTAATACTCAATCATGCTTGCTCAAATTAATAAATAAATATGCTTGAATATTTTTTTAGTAACTCAGAGCTCAAATGAACTAAATTTGAACAAGTCAAAATCACCTGTTAATATTCAAGAACAAACCTGTTTGTAGTTCACTAAGTAATTTGTTAAATTCTGTATACGTATTTGTTTATTATTTAAATGAAATTTGATTAATTAAATTTTATTTAATTATATATTTAAAAATAACATATTATAATTTAATATCAATATAAAATAAATTTAATATAATAATTTTATTTTATTTTATTTCAATAAAATAATTTGTTAATACTTCTTCATATTATTTAATTGAAAAAAATAACTTATACATTATTTTATTTATTTGGTATAAACTCACTGAGTACTAATTTGAAATCTATTTTGATTCATAAAATTATTTATTTATTACTTCATATAAAACATCAAATATATATTTATATTTTTAATTTGTTTGTCAAATTTTTATGAAAAATCATATACAATCAAATTTAATTTTATATTAAAATTTAAAATTTTTTTAATTTAAAATTTTTTTAATTAATATAAATAAGTTAAATATAAATTACATTTGAATATTAAAAATTTAAAATAATATACATATAGCTTTTTCTTCGGAAAAGTAGGTTGACTTCTCCCATAGGGGAAATATTTATGTGTTTAAGACGTATTTAGAGTTGCGTACATATTAGATTATTTGAAGACTATAAATAAATTATGCTTAATATGTACACTCTCTTAACATCCAAATATTTCTCCTCAGAGAGGCCGCCCATGGCTCGCTTGGCATTAATTCGGATTAGTTTCAGCTTTTAAACTCTAAAGCGGCCATGGCCGAAGAGAAACAAACTAAAATCACTATGATTGATAATGTAGTCGGAGAGGGCTCCTTTCATCGTGAACTCACCTCTGAGAATGCCACAGATCTCATCCGATCCGTTGACGCCTTCCTCTTCGATTGCGACGGTCTCTCTTCCATCTTTTCTCCCCTTGATTTTTTTCCCTTCGTGTACCTATCTCCGTTATAAACCCCTTGGTTTCTTGGGTATCCTTAGGAGTCATTTGGAAGGGCGATAAGCTCATCGATGGTGTTCCCGAAGCGCTGGAAGCCCTCCGATCCATGGTAGTTGACAGTTAACCTTGTATTGGTATTTTGTTAGAAAATCCTTTATGGTTTGGAAAGTGGATACTGAGTGTGAAATGCTCGGGTTTTGTTCAGAAGAAGAGGCTTGTTTTTGTGACCAATAATTCTACCAAATCAAGGCGGCAGTATGCGCGGAAATTCGCCTCCGTCGGTCTCGATGTCAGCGAGGTATTATTTTGGTTTCCTTGTTCTTCATTTTGTCGGTTTTAATTAATCTTTGAATGATCAGGAAGAAATATTCTCGTCTTCCTTTGCGGCAGCTATGTTCCTGAAGTTGAATGATTTTCCTCGGGATAAGAAGGTGAGGCATGCGTTTCTTATTGAAAGTTTCTAAACTTAGTTTTTGTTTGGCATTGTGGTGTTCTCTAGTACACATAAATGTGGTTAGGATGTAAATGGGATTTACATCCTTGTTTTTATTTTTTAATTCTACCAAATGGCTCGTAAGATCTGTTTAAATTATGTTATCCGTTCTCTAGTACTCAGATGCTGTTCAGATGCGAAAGGGATTTAAATCCTTTTTTATCTCTTGTTATACTAAATAGCTCATAAGCTCTGCTTGGATCAAGTGATTCGTCTACTCCTTTAATTTGGGGACTAGAGACCATCTAGTAATTTGCCAAGGATTTAAGAGAGAGAGAGAGAGAGAGAGAGAGAGAGAGAGAGCTATTCGATATATTAATTACTTTTTCCCAAAGTTGAACATTTCTAATTTGATTCAAATAAACCTAATTGGTCTGATTGAATACCACTTGCAACACTAATTCATGGTTAATTAGCTTAAAATAAAAACCCATTTATTCCTGAAAAACTAGGAAAATCAAATAGTATTTTACTAATATTTTACCTTCGTCCAATTAATCCTTAATTTCCATATTATGCAAACCAAAATTAGTACCTTGTCAGCTTAACGTAGATTTGTAGTCCTTAACTAAGTATTATACTCAAGTTAACTAATATTAATAACTAAATATTAGTATAGTGATTTATTTCTAGTGGTCTAATTAATCCAATTAAAAATCAACAGTAAGTAGCCTATTGAAAGCCGATTAAGTTAACATCTAATGTTTAGTTAGGTGCAAATTAGTTGAAATGATTAATGTTCAATAATGAATTTTAATATTTTGATGAACTAACAACAAGTTGTTAAATTATTCAAGTAACACATAACTATTCTTGTAATTAATTAATGTATAATTATTTAAATTTAAAATTAATTTGCTAATTGAAACTTATTAAGTCCTAACTGATATAAATTTGCATCCAAACAAATATTTATCTATTAATTACTTAACATTATTAATTTATCAATCAAATAAATTATAATTAATTAATGAAACAAATTCAGTGTAAATGGCAAAAGATGATTTCCAATCTCAGAAATTTGAATGGATTCTTATGTTTTCAATTCTCGCTATGCTGCCCACAGATTGATCTAGTGAAATGAGCACCTTATAGGCTGAGCTTTCTCTATCAACTTTTAGTCTTAAATGTTGAAACAATTCAAGTTGGATTATTTTTAGATTGTAGTGAGCTATTTTTTAAAGAACAAATCAGTAGAGGAGAGGAAACTCATGAGCCAATTGTGGAGAGGCTCTTCTTTCATGTATAACGCACAAATCTGTTATTTTTTGCTTTTCACTCTCATTGAAATGAAGCTTTTTGAAGGAATTGTTAAATGACATATATTCAATTTTAGACTGCTATTAAAAGATGGGGAATCTTCATTTTTCTCACTATGGGCTAGCAAAATACTTAAAATGATATGTTTCAAATCTGGGAAAGGACAGAAAAAAAAATAATGTTCTCCTTTTACTTTTTGAGTAGAATGATTTAATTTACTCTTTGCGAAAAAATGAAGAATTAAATGCGAAGGGCTTTTTTCTGTTCAATAGAAGATATCAGAAAGAAAGAAAAAGAGGACTGCAACATGTCAAAGAAGTGTTGCGAAAAGGCATCAAGCTGTTTCAGCGATTTGCATAGGCAAGGCTCCTTTTATAATGAGAACTCTTCAGTTCCCATCTTCTCCCAAAGGATGTTCATGAGAGGAGCTCTAAGATAATAATTCAAAGCCTTACCACTGTCAAACGATAATTGAATAATAGCTTTCTTGCTCTTTTTTTGTCATCTCCACTCATCATTCAGACTTAGATTTTCTTTTAACTTGGTTCTATTCTCTTTTGAACTTGTTGCATTGTTCAAAGTAAATCTTGCACAGATAAATGTCAAAAGGCATTAAAGAAAGCACTTCGATATGAGGACCTGAATGCTTGAGTTCCCTTTGTGTTAAGAATACATTGAAGAAAGAAAAATAAGAGTATTGTGTTAAATCGGTGTCGTAGGCACCGATCGCCTCTTGCTCCAATGAGTCGACACCTAGCTTGCCAAACTAGTTTGAAAACTTATGTTAGGTGTAAGAATAAAATTGGTAATTTAGTCATCTGTCAGTTATTATCGTGAGATATAATTAGGGCTATTATTTTTAGGGTTAGGTTATGCTATGAGATTGTTGTCGTGAATATTAGGTTTAGGGTTTAGGAGAGATCGTGTATCTCTTAAATTACATATGTTAGGGTTAGTGTTTGGGAGATACCGCGTACCTTTTGAATTGTAGATCTTTATCTTTATGTATTTGAGTGTGTTTTTTGGTGTTATTGAAATAAAATATTTGGTTGCCCTATTTTTTGTGTAGAACTCCTGTGATTCAAATCAAATTGGTATCATATCATTCAATTCTCTAGGAAGCTAAGAGAGGATTGCAACGTCCAAGGATGATCAGACCTTGCAATGCAATCACCTTTATGACCTAATATCGCAATATGGTCTCGATCAAGCTGTTGGGAAGCCTTTGATGGGATTGTAGTATACAGGACCTGTCATCATGTTCTTCACAATACAGTCGTGATTTGATATTGTTGGGAAGCCAAGGTCGGGATCGTGGTGCACAAGTGAACGCCTTCATGACCGAACCTCGCGATACAATTGTGATTTGACTTATGGGAAGCCAACAACGTCTTCGTGACTGAACCTTGCAATCAGAGTCACGATTCAACCATGGAGGAGAGATTCATGGCCCTAAAAGAAATTATGAAAATGGTTGTGGAGTTTCACGCAAATCCGTTGCTTGTCGGCTTGGGATTGAGCGATGACGTCTGGAGCTGATGTGAGCAGAAGCAATCTGAAGGAACTGTGCGGCATAGAATAGTGTCAGCGCCTTAGGCGAACCCAAAGATGCGAGATCGAGTGAAGGAATCGGGAATGGACTTGAGTGACAAACCTAGAAGGAATAACACAACGTCCAGATGGCTGGAGCAAATGGAAGCAGATGGGATTGGGCGATGGAGTCGGGAGTGGATTCAAGCAGTAGCATCAAGAGGAAATTGCTGACATCTGGTGGTTTGGAACAAGCCACAATTGGCAGAATGAGAGGACACGTGATTCAGTGACAGAGAGATAAATTCTAAGTATTTGTGCTTGGAATAAGGAGCTCATGTGGGCAGGAACCTAGTGGAGGGCTACAACCAGTCATGTTAGTGCTTTTTGCCACGATAGCATTCCGAGCGGAAAGAGATTCAAGACCCTATGGGGACGTTCGAGCTTATCATGGGGCGAGCTAGACTTATGGAAGAAGAAAAATCAATATGGGTTAAGGAAGAGATCCCAACCCCCGTTTCATGGGTGTAATGAGCTTCAGTTGAGGAATTGGGGAGGAAACTCATGCATAAGGAAATTGAAGATGTTGATCTTTGAAAAAGAAGATGACTATTGTTGGATTTATTACATGGATTATCAGGCATTATCGGGAAATGAATAAGAAAATAGTACCTGACAAATATTTCTTTTTGGTGATTGATGAGCTACTGGATGAGTTATTTGAGCTTGCAGTTATTGACTTCACTTTTGTGAGGACCTCCTCTCTCTCTATAAAAACCTAGTATTTAACCTTAGGGTTCCCTGGTGACCTTCTTAGATGAATAGAGATGGAACTCATTCATATAGGACCTCTAATCAGTCATACTCTCACTTAGGGTTTCCTGAGGTTAAGCCCAAATCCTCAACCCTTGGTTGAGATGATTGAGGGTCTCGCCCAGTGGAAGCCCAAGCTGACTTCCTATAGATGGAAGATGTCCTAGATTACCCATGGAGCTCAAAACCCTAAGAATTCCTCTAATGGCCCATTGAATATCCCTGGGATTCTCATTGACCCAGAGCTTTCAATGAGGGGTTCTTACCACATTACCCTAAAAGACCCTGGAAATCCCATGACACCAAAATTTAAAGGAAGAAGTGTGATTCACCAAAGTCAATCATTGGTCTCACCTAAAGTTTTCCCAACATCAATTAACCTAAAATTGCATTAATTTTAAAACATTTCTGTAGATTTTAAGGTTCTGTTGAACTTGGAGTTTCATTTCATCCAGCACATCTAACTCTTCCATCCTTAGGTGATCATTTTGCTCGTGAGTAAAATTATACTGGACAACTACTTGAAGTGATGACAACTCAACTTCAAGCGGTAATATCACTTTAGTTCCAAAGTTCAATGCATAAGGAGTAGCTTTAGTCGGTGTTTTATAAGTTGTGCAATAAGCCTACAACTCTTCCATCATCTTAGTATGTCATTCTTGTTTATTTTTAGTGAGGATTTTCTTGAGCAGCTTAACCACCGTCTTATTAAAAGTTTTTGATAGGCCATTTGTCCTTGGATTGTCAATTGAAGAATATTGCCAATCGATTTTGTGTCAATCGATGAATTTGTATATTTTTGTGGTTTTAAAAGCTACATTATTTGTGCGATAATACAATGTGACATATCAAATCTGTAGCAATATTGTGAGTGAAGAAATTCATCACTTGCTCTACAGTTTTCTGAACGACACAACTCAGCTCAGTTGCAACTAGAATGAAGCGGTGTTCTTTTGATGATGGTGGATCAATCGGTCCAATCACATCCGTACCCCACTATTCAAATTGCCAAGATGTACAAATACCCTCCAATAAACGTGGTGCGAGTCTGAAGCGGGCCATGTTTGTTGTAAACTTTTTGACCATGTGAGTTACAAAAAATCCATTATCACGTTGAGGGTTTCATTTTGCAAATCTCCAAGAATGCTAACTAAATGTCAATGCAAAATATACTTTTGAGCTAACTATACAGCTTCTATTGTTATAGACCAATTTTCATTAACCTTGCCTCTTGTTGTCACATATTTGTCCTAGAGATTTAACTTGTCTTTTGTGCTTTGGGTTTGAGTAGCTCGATGAAGAAATTAACTTGAATAGTCTCTATAGACTTGCCAGATGAATGAGCACACCTTTAGTCCTAGCTTTGTGCTTTAGTGGATTTGTTGAAGGAGTTGACCTTCAATCAGGTTTGTGTTATGGCGGACTTGTTGAGGGATGCATGCTAGTGAACCAACCTTCAAGCTTTTATTGAGTTAGTGGCAAGAGATCGTCAGTCATATGCTTAGTGCTTTATGTATCTTCTTGACGATTGAATCCCCTTAGTTTATCATCTAACTTTGAACGAACTATGGGATAACTTCTTCGGTCATTTGCTTTCTGCTTTATCGAACTTATTGAAGAAAATAATTCATCATTCTATACCTTAAGCTTAATCAAACTATTTAAAAGGATTTTTTATATTTTTTATTTGAACTGAACATCAGGCTCAACTTGTTGATCTTTTTTTGATCTTTTGATTAATCAAGAATAATTCCATAATCTACTCCAACTGGACTTCTCAGGTTGAATAAGCTTGGGATTTGATAGTCTTTGCTTTTGGTCTAATAGATGGGGCCTTCTTTATTGCGGTCGTTTATATGGCTTGTTGAGTGAACAAAATTGTCAGCAACAAGGTCATATTTAAGCTTGTTTTGCGTCCTAGACTTGGATTATAATAAGCTTGGGCTTCTTCAGCTTAAGAAGCTTTAGTTTATAGACTTGGGGATTTTCATTTGTCGATGAACTTGTCGAAGAAATCTTCTGGATCTGGGAGGCTTGAACTTGTAAAATTGGATTAGCTTGCGAATTAGAAAATTCTTGTCATTAGACTAACAAGGTAGGGGCTCTCCTACTGCAATATTTTTTATAGCTTGTTGAGTTGGAAATACTTGTTTTTTCACTGCGATCATTTTTATTTCTTATTGAGTGAAGTAGGCTGGCTATCAGCGACTCGACTATATTTGGACTTGTTAAGTCCGACCATTTTTGACCCAGAATCCTTTCCACTTGAATTGTTGAGATTTGCAAATCTCAAGTCTTTTTAGCTGAAAATTTGAGGATTTTGATCAAAGAAAATCTTTGCCCTTGAAAGTCCCATTTCACATCTACTTTTGCCTGGTGACAATTGTTTCAACAAATTTTTGGGGGATCTCGATATTAATGCTTGATATTAACCCTAAGTTGGATATAAATTGTCAAATGAACACGAGCTGTCCTTGCAGAGAATGAAATTGACGAAGATTTTTTAGGGGAGACATCTCAATAATGGCCTTGATTTTATTGGGACCACTCTTAATTCCTCTATGGCGTATAATATGCCCAAGAAAACTACAATGGATGTAAGTGATACATAGTTCTTTTCTTGGACGCAAATTTATTAACATTGTTGAGAGACATTCCAAATCAGATGCGTGAATCCATAAAACTACTTCTAATGCGTGCAAGAGATACCATCATCCAAATAAAGAAGTATGTCCTAATGAATTAAATTATCTACAAATCTAGTCTATTTCTTTTTAAAGCTGCTAATTCTCTTACCTGCATCCAAACAAATTTTCAGGGTTAAACCAAAGGCAAGGTCTTGAAATACGAATAATTTTAGGATTTATCAAGCTCAAGGTTTATTAAATTCAATCGTATAGGATTTTGAAATCTAGATTTACTGAATTTTACTTGGTCTAAACTTCCTGTTTTAGAGGGTGTGCTTCCTCTGTCAGAGTGCAAGCTTTTAGTTTATTTTTTATTTAATTTTTAAGTTGATATCTTTCTAAAAATTTTGAAAGTATAGCTGTCAACGTCTGCATGCGACACATCTTGTAGTGTTTAATTATTTCCCACTATATTCACTAACGAGCCATTTTTGTTTCAGGTATATGTAATCGGTGAAGAAGGGATATTGGAGGAACTCGAGCTTGCTGGTTATACAGGCTTAGGTGGACCGGTTAGGACTAAAATCACCATCAATTTGTTTTCAGTGAAATTTGTTTAATAAAACCTTATAAAATCTGAGAATATTGGTTATGCTTCTTAATCTATACTCGCACAATCATTTGGAACGAACAACATTTATTTTTGTGCAAAAATATGTGAATCGTTATTACCCAGTGTATTCTAATCTTGTAAATTTTATTCTGCTCTTTTATGATGGTATACTTCGTTGCAGGATGATGGAAAGAAAACCATACAACTTAGATCGAACTTCCTTTTTGAGCATGATAAAAATGTAACTTCCAGATAAATAGTTCTTTTTTGGCAGCCCTTAAGACCAGAAAGATTTTTTAAATGGTTAAATGTTGGTAAAGGAAGTTCTTTTTTCAGGTTGGAGCGGTCATAGTTGGACTTGATCAGTACATAAACTATTACAAACTCCAGTACGTTTTTTCACTTTTCCAGTTTCAAAGTAGTTTCACTTTTGGTGGAACTTGCACAGTTACTTCTCTTTTTGGGCATAGATAAGTTTTATATCATTGCAAAATCACCAATTTAGAAAATTTGGTCAACTAAGATGAACATCTAATTTTTAAGCTTATGACTTCTACTTTGTGATTTATACCTTCTGGTTGTGATCCACATGAGCATCAAGCCACTTCTTTGTGAGCATGTTTATGAATAACTAAATCTACTTCTCTGTGGATATAGATAAACTTCAGTGTAATTCCTGTCAACGTGTGATGCAGATGTGAGCCTCCCTGACGGACCGAAGGAGAGGAGCAGAACTGGCCAAAACTTGTTCCCTCCTTGGCCGGTTCAGGGTATTTCGCTCCCAAGGGCAGGACGGCCCCTTTGGAGCACTTATTTACCATATTTAAGTTTTGAGTGGGGCTATTTTGTTTCCTTATTATAAATATGTTCTTTTGAAATCTTTTATGGACATTTGGCTTGATTTTATGTAATTGAAGATTATTTTCTGTGATTTTCTTTTCTTTGGAGTATGGTAGTCTCCTCCTTTGAGTGGTGTGTCTATTAGCATGATTGTGAAAAAAAGTGGATCCCTCTCTACACCATTCTGACCTTACTTAAGCTCACTGCTTTCCCCTGAAACAACATTCAAACTCCTTTTTTCTTTTAAGGTTTTTCGCCCTCATGTCCATATCCTATAATATTCCAATACCTTTATTGAAACTTACACAACATCTTGAAACTCCAGATCGGTCTTACTTAGTGTTAGAGCTATACAATTCCCAGACCTTTGGAAATTCACCACTCTAAATTTCAAACCCTAAATCCAAATACCTTGACCATTATCTACTAAAAACCACATCACTACCTCCAAAAATTGCATTTCTACCCTTCAGCCAAAACCAAATTCTCTAAATTCCACTGAAAATCCCAAAAGAGGTATTCAAGAGCTTAAAATAAAGGCATATAATGAGAAATTCTTCAATTATATCGTAAGCTCATTGATTTTGAATGAAGACAATGTGGTGTAGTCACCCAGTCATAACAATGATTAGTCCGATGGAAAAGATGATGAAAATTCCTTCTACCAATAAGCCTCAAGTGACGAAAAACTAATGTCTCATTGATTTGCCATTGATTTTGGACTAGATTTTGAAGATATGGATTTTGATGGATTTATTGAGTGACTGCAGATAGTTGAATGGATCTTCGAGTACAAAGATATTCCACTTGATAGAAATATTAAGTTAGTCCCTATTGAACTCAAGAAGAGCGTTATTATATAGTTCGAGAATCTTAAATACTTTTGTTAACACGAAATGAGTAAGATCACTATGAGGTCTAAAATGGAGTTGTAACATAAAAATCTTTCAACACATTATTGGTAGGACATCTTTTTTAATGCTTTACAATCGATTACAAATAGAATTTTATCCATAAAAGAATATACCATTGGATTTTGAATATGCTGAAGTGTGAGCTGGTGGAGCATGAAGAGTACACGGTTGACGTAGTATCTTCGGGATTTGAGGGCATCCATTAGCAAGGTGGTGTAATTACAAACATATTGGTCCTTGTTGGATGTACAAATCTTAGTCTTTATGGTGGAGAAATAACACTGCAATATTACCTTTTAAGTAGGACTTGATCATGAGTCATGCTATAAGGGTGCTTTATCTTGAGGATCAAAGATCAATCCACGTGACAAGAAATTATCCTAGGAAGGCGAAAATGTGAATATATTGGCACAACTAAGATCATTCTTGACAGAAAGTGCTTTAAATGTCATTGTTTTGGACATTTTGCCTGTACTTGTCTAAACAAAAGAATTATTTCCTTCAATAAACAGGGAGTGGTTGAAGAGACAAACAATGAAGAGTTAGTAGAGGATGCAAATGATGATTATGAACTTTCAACCGATAATGAGAGATGCTTGTGATTCAACGAGTTCTACAAGCCTTACTTAAGAAGTAGCAACATTGGCTAGGATGGAATATCTTTTGTACCCATTATATTGTGAGGGGCAAGGTGTGCAATCTCATCATTGATGGGGGTAGTTATCAATATGTAATGTCTATCCAAACGGTGGGTAAATTAAGCTTAGCCAACTAGAAATTTTCCTAGCCATTCTCTTTGATTTGGTTGAAGAATGGAAATGAGAACATTTTAAATAATTCACAGACTTTATTAGGAAGGAAGTTATTTCCTTCCATCAGGGCATTTTTTACTAATTATATTTTCTTTTATTAGATATTTCCTATTTTTCTGATTTTTCCTATTTGGTGGGATTCCTAGTTGTTTTTTTTTTCATTATGATATATATTATTTAAGTTGTAATTCATTGAGTGAGTAAGAAATAAAAATCTTTTACCTAGCCACGAACTTAATTCCTTTGATTGCTTCGTATCTCTTCCTCGTATGCTGCCTCATCTCCCTCATAAGCATGACATTAACTGCTTCGTCTCTCTCAAACAAATGAGTCGTTGGTCCGTGCAAGGTCGGTTGCCGCTTCCATTGTCATGCTTGAAGTGAAGGCGATAAGGCTTTGAGCCTCAACCTCACTCGTCTCTTCTATTCGAATAGAGTCCTCACTCCTCTATTTTGTTCAAATGGATCGACTTGCTTGTCTCTTCTATTCAAACGGATCACAAAATCATTCAAATAGATTAAACACTCTGTCTAAACACTTCGTCTGAACCTTTCATTCGATTTCCACAGAACGTTTAATTTCTTCCTTTATTTTTTTGCAACCTCTCATGATCAAGATGTCTTTGGTTACCGCTAGTCATCCTCTCTTCTTTCTTCTTGGGTTTTAGCGAGGTTGATTGAAATTGAGGATTCTTCCTCTTCAGTTCGCTAAAGCGGTGAACAATTCAATTTGCCCTAGCTACCATCTCACGTGTCATTCACCTGACCACGTCTTGTTGAGTGTCGAACGCATCGAAATTGAGATTTGTACAATTCCCTCTATTTCATGTTCACTCGTCTAACCAAGCTGTCGAATTAAGTGTCCTCTCGCTTTTGTTCAGCAGCAGGTATTCTCAATGTAGATGTTATAATCTTATCATGGTTAAACACGACATAGCCTCATAATCTTATTCATTGGAAGTTACGTCGAGATCCGAGCTTACATCTTCAGTCCCTAACACAACTGATAACACTTATCTTGTCACAAACTATAAACTGCAAGGCGATAATTTTCTTTAATGGTCACAATCTGTCATTATGTACATCTGCAGAACAAGGAAAGATTGGCATATCACATGAGAGTTTTTTGCTCTAGAAGTGGCATATTTCAAATATCAGGCCTGGAAAATTGATGTTCATATGGTCTTAGCATAGTTATTAAATTCCTGGAGAAAACTATCTTCTCTATAGGACAGGAAAGGAGATATGAGAGGTTGTGCGTGAAACCTATTCTCACACTAAAAACTCTTTAGAGATACTTGAGAACAAAACTAGATTACATGATCTATGACAAGAAGAATTGAATGTTACTCAATATTTCAACACCCTCACACATTGTTAGCTAAAACTGGACATGTATGAGTTTTGTGCTTGAAAATGTCCTGATGATTTTGCCTTGTTTAAAAGGATTACTGAACAAAAAAGAACCATCAATTTCCTTCTTGGCCTCAATAAAGACCATTCGGGAGGCCTTTGCTGAAGCTGGAATGGAGGATGACAGAAAGAAGTTGATGATCACAGACAATCAAACCACAATATCTATTGAAGGATTAACTTTTTACACTCAAAATTCATCTCAGAATAACAAACTAAGGAAATGACGGCCATGGTGCGCCCATTATAAGAAAATTGTTCATATAAAGGAAAAGTGTTGGAAGTTATGATACGAAAAAACGTGCAAATGCTGCTATTACAATAAAAAATTCGGAATTTAGCTCACTAGGGAGCAAATTGAGGCACTGCAAAGAATGTTATGTTCAAATTATGGACAATCATCACAATTCTCTGTCGAATAATTTATCAGCTTGTTAGCATACCCCGATATATTATCTCATGCTTTTATTGTCCAAAGCAAGAAATTAAAACATTTGATCCGGAACCACAAATCTTATAGTGGGAGACATCGACATCTTCAAAAATTATAACTCATGTATCAATCACTTTGTAATTTGAATGTCTGATGATTCATTTTTGCTAGTAGTACGAACTGGATCAGTTGAATTAACAAAGGATCTTCATCTCTACTCAGTTTTTTGTATTCTAAAATTATACTACGACTTACTCTCAAAAAACAAACTTGCCTTCTAAAATTTGTGGTTAACTCTTATTCCAATTGTTGTAATTTTCATGTGGTGGATTCATGAAAGGTGGTTGACAGTGTTGAGATGCATGGTGGTTTATATTTGCTCAATGAAAATAACTTTATCGATAGGCAAGGTAATTCGTTCAGTTGTATTTTTGAGTCTAGTTTAAATTCTATCAATGCAGTTTCAATTGAAAGTGAAGTCGTATTGAATCATAGTTGTCTTAGTCACCTAAATTTTATGTACATAAAAAAGATGTTTTTACGTTTATTTATCACAAAAATGCCTAATTTTTATCAATGGGAAACTTAACAACTTGCAAAACATACCATATATTTATAATTTAAACTGCAGTATAAGCCTTCACATCTTTTTTTTTGTAATTCACAGTAACATCCGAGGACCCTCAAAAGTAAATAATATAAATGGTGTACGATGATTTGTATCATTTATAGAAAATCACACAAGAAAAACTTGAATATTCCTTATTAAAGAAAAATCTGAAACAACCACTATTTCAATTTTTTCATTTCATGATCACCATTCAATTCCAAAGCAAAATATTGAAATTCTTAAAATTGATAATGTCAAGGAATATTTTAGTTCCATCCTTAGCCTTTGTCTTCCCATGTATGGTATTATTCATATAAGTTTGTGTGTGGATACTCCTCAACAAATTGGAGTCACTGAAAGAAAAATAA